ATATATATTTGGAGAGTACATACTAGTCACACATACAACTTTTGGTTGCCTATTTAAGTAGTCCGCTTATTACTAAGCAAAATTAGTTTTATCAATCTTTCGCATAATGAATTAGAATTAGAATTAGTGAATTTGAATTCTAAAATTGAAATACTTGAAATTGCAAATGTTTAGTATTATTTTTTCGTCAATATATATTTAAAGCCTGATTTACTAAAAATTATGGTATTAATATTTTGTAAATTCAGTACGTTTTCAAGAGGTCTTCAAAATACATTATTATTTAAATAATTATTAACTGCAATGAAATCTCCTAAATTATTCATTTTTGTTCTTACCATTTTGATTCTAATTCCGAACATCACATTGTCCGCAATTTCATTTACATTTTATTGCAGCCATTTTGTACCAAGTGCAGTTTCCTTCAACACATCAATTGCTAACGTTGCATTAAAAGTTTCTGCATTACAAGGCCCTTGTGTAGAAATTACTAGCACTGGAGAATATACGAATAGAAGCACCTTTGCTGTATCTAAAATTACTTCTGCAGAACCATTGTGTTATAGTGATGTAATAGGTGTTCAAGACACTAGAGGAAGTTCAGTTTGGTTTCTTTCCCCTCTAGGATGGATTTGGTCAGGTCTGACGACTAATCCAAATTGGAATTTGTCTTGTTAAGTAGAATAATTTTCTTAACTTACTAACAGATGTTTCAATGATCTCGGACCGATAACGATACTTAGCATGTTTAATATTGTACATCTTAATGACTTTTGATATATGTTTTAACTATCTCATCCTATACTTAGCACAGTATCAATTATCCTTTTGCATGTATTACGATAGATAAAATACAATAGATTATGTTTAGCACTTTATTAAGAGTTACTCCATAAATCGTTAGACTTTAGAGGCTAATTCATCAAATAATCTAAATAATTATATGGCGAGCAATTATTATATTGCAAAAATATTTACTCTAAATTAATAATTGATGCTTAAATTTTCTTCTTTAATCTCTTTATATGTGTGCTAAATCTATAAGCTATTTAATTAATAGTATTAAAAAGGTTGCATAGGACCAATAAATTTATTTCTTATTGTACCAAACAAGTTATTTGTAATATTTCTTAAATATATCTCTTGCAATAATAGCTTTATTTTGTCTTTGAAAATGTAACTATTCAAAGCTCTATTATAAGTCGTCCAATTAAAAACAAGTTGCAATTCAAATTTGCGTCCAGTTTTTAGATTATGAAAGATAAACTGGACCAAATTAATAAATGACCACATGCTTCTGAGTTTCTCGATTTTTATTATTTTTATCAACACCACTAAGACACACAGAAACCACATCAAATTAGAGTAAGATTCAAGATCAGAATTTAAATTTAAGTATCAAATTCAAATACGCGTTCATTAACAAGAGAAGAATGTGTAGAACTCATGATGACTCCGGGATCTAAATTTTTTAAAAAGAATGTTAAATCAACCAAAAATCGTTTAGTTAAAATTAGTGATTAAAATTATTAGATTGAAACAATTCTTATGTTAACAATACATCCGAAACTATTTGGGTAATTATTTTTGAATCCGGACCAATTTTATTTATGACGTATCCATATTACAACTAGCAAATCAATTTGCTCAAAAATAAACTCTAATATTTTGATACCTTTGAACGTTGATTTACACTAGTATTTCTATTTTCCCTTCCATGGCGCCCGAACATTTTCATTTACATTTTTTATTGGACAATGAAATGGGCTGCCGTCAATAGAAATCAAGCAGATCTACATTTTTTATAAAAATGAGTTATATCATTGATTTAATAGAAAAAATTATAAGGATCATTTTTACTTATAAAATATAGATAAAAAAGCATAATAAAATCTTACGTTAAATCAAATAAATTATTTTAACTATCCGTGTAACTTCGGTGGATGAAATTTAGCTCGGAGATCGATTATGTCGATCATTTACTAACTAGTGCCGTCAATAGAAATCAAGCAGATTCCTCTAATAAATCTGCTTGATTTCTATTGACGGCTATTTTTTTTATATCAATAAGTAACTGCGCAACACAGTTACGCGAAATCAGAAACGCGAACCTTGAAATTGAGTTGTGCCAGACCTAGAAGTGCCGGCATAATAATATAACTTGTTGTAATTGTAGTGTTATGTCCCTTTTCTTATCGTAATTCAGTACTTATAACTATTGCATGATATTGTGTCCGCCTCTTTAGCCGGATTAAAATTTGACACAGGTATTTTAAATTAATACACTTGTTATATATTTTATTAAAGTTGATAATTGCAAATTTTACTAATATATAGAACATACAGTTTTTTGTTTGGCGTCTTCTAATATTTGATAATTCTATGGTGAATCTACTGAATGGATAAGCTACGTATTACTAAGGAAATAACAGACTTTTCATTATAATAGCATTATTCGTGAACATCTTGCAAGTATTATGTACTTTTTCAGACTTTATTTAATTTTACTAATCTTCTAATAATTTTACATTCGAAAAATATTTTAATTCATCAAAAGCAACTAATGATCGCAGACTTTAGGCAGATAAACAAAATACCTACGACTTCAAATTCAATTATTCACGGAATACTGACATATGTCAAATATAGAAAAGCATTAGCAGATGTGTATAGCAAAAATATTCTCTAATTTCTTTGAAATAATTTTGGTTCAGAAGGTGAAAAGCATCAGCAAGAATGCCATACTGACTTTTTGAATCTTTATTATAATAATCTTAGATCAAAGGAAGAAAAGCATTAATGGATTTACTTTGTAAGAACAATACCTTGAAATATTAAATATTCGATATAATGAACTTGAATCAAGAGACAACGTATGGGCAAACGCATTTCGTAAGAATATCATTCTAATTTTATGAATATGGCTTAATTAACGTGGATCAGAAAAAAAGAAAAGTAATGGCAAATACATCTTGTAAGAATTACACTGATTTCTTTAAAACTCTGAGTTAATAGATGTACTTTGCAACGACATTACGTTATTTCTTTGATTCTTAGTTGGAATGAACTTGAATTAGGAGAAAAGCATTAGTAAATGCGACTTGCAAAGAACATTATGCAGATTTATTAATTTAAAATTATGGATAACAAATTCAAATTCTGTGATATGATATAGCTAACGGCAAGTCTTATCTTTTTTGTACAACTATAGATAAGTAAAAGCGAAAATAAAAATCAGATTAGCAAAACGCCAGCATGAAATAAAAGAATTTGTGTGAATACAACTTAAAAATAGATAATACAGGTAAAAATAAGGCATAATTTACTAACATATTAGACTTATACATAATGATGATATATATAAGCTTTATGTAATATACGTACGAATATAGAAACAATAAAATAAAGAGAATCGCATATCACCACTTTACTTAACATACTCGTTGTTGGCTCCATTCTCAGTACTTATTAACTATGGATGAAAATATAAATAAAAATGTACTTTTTGATAGTATTTTTCTCGAAACTCATTCCGAATTAACTACTTTAAATAACGAGTTTAATGAATTATATAAACATTATAATACAACTGAAGATAGTGATGAATTATATGAAGAATTTTTTATTGAAAATCAGGCAAGCGATAGTAGTGTGACAGAACAAGTTGATAGTTTTGGGTCCGATTGTTTTACCTAACAAGAAATTACATTATTTCAACAAATTTATCAAACCAATATAATACAAACCTTTAATAAATATGAAGAAAAAAAATCAAATGTCAGAACAAGACAATCAAGCATTTTAACTAAAATTCGGCAAATGGATTGCTGTAATAAAAAATGTTTTAATACTCTTATTAATCATGATGAAGCTCTTAAAAGATTTTGTAAAATTAAATTAATGTCAGCAACCGAAAGAAATATGTTTTTTTTAGGAATTCTTGAGGCTAGCATACGACAATTAACTAATGAACGTGGAGAAATTAAACAACTTACAACAAGTAACTACAAATTTCAAGGGGTTCCGGTTTGTCAAAAATCCTGGCTTACGATATATGCAATTGGAAGATCAAAATGGGAAGCAATTCGAACACATTATTCAAAAAATGATATAAGTCCTATAGTTCATGGTCTTAAAGGACGTGTTAGTAATCATGCAATTAAGTTTGAATCGATATTATATATACTAACATTTATTCAAAATTTTGCTACGCAACATGGTCTTCCTTCGCCTGGTAATGTTTAAAATCTTTAAAATTAATATGTTAAATTATATTAATAAATTATAATTTAAACAGGTCACCACTTTCGTGAAGATATTCGCCCTATTATATACTTACCAGCGTGTGAAAGTTATTATTCATTATTTCGTCTCTATAATGATGCGGTTGATATTAATAAAGAATATGATAATGATGCAATTGATATTAATAAAGAAAGTCATATTATTAGTCAATCAAGCTTTAGCCGAATTTGGAAACGTTACCTTCCTGGAATCAAGTTTTTAACTGCGCGTAGTGATCTTTGCATGCAATGTAAAGAAATGAGGTTTAGTGCTAAGCGGTGGACTCAAAGTGAAACATTAAATAAAATAAATGAATGGTCTAATCACTATTCTTGGGCTAGTTTAGAGCGTGAATATTATCGGTAAATATAATTTAAACATTCAATTTAACTTCAAATCTAGTGCTAGTACGAGAGTTAAACTTAATTGTAATTTATTAAGAATCAAATTGTTTTAATAGATCACAGCATAATGTTTTAATTTTTAGCGCCTCTAGTTTTGTCACTATTCAAATCTATGTACAGTACTATAATATAGAATATAATTTGGTAGCTTAGGTTGTTCTCAAGCATCTTCCTCTATGGATAACTAGATATCCAATTGGCTAACAAAATAGATCGTGCTTAATCATTTCGATCAAAAAACCTGGACCTAACAACCATCTTTTTTTTCAGAGTTATGCTAATTGGCTAAAATTTAAAATCCGCATTTTGTACAATGAATTTCCAGTAAAATCGTTATAAGAATCACTTCAATTAATTTCAATTAATTGAAATAATTGAGTAGCATCTCAATCACTAGCAAATCACATCGAAGGAGCTAGCTTGAGAACAACCTTAATTACAGATCAATTATGAAAATTTTGTTTGCAAACCTGTTAGGGATAATAATGTAAAATTTAATTGAAATCAGGCTGCTTGGTTTTTATTATTATCGATAGTAGCTAAATATATATAAATTTAAATTAATCTATTAAATATTTATAGAAATGTATCATTACTTCTAAAGAAGAAATTCAAAAATTTGGTAATAATAATTTACCACGGCCTGGTATTCCAAATTCGCAAGATATAGAAAACTATATCTCTTGGGACTTTGCTGAAAGCGTGCATTTACCTTTTTCGTCACAACAAGAGGAAAGTTTACATATACAATTAATTAAAATTTTTTTATATACTGTATTAAATATATTTATTTTAAATATAGGGCGCCATCTACTTTAAATCTTTATTTAAAGTTGGTGTTTTTGGCATATGCGAAGAAGCATTCCCACGACAAGTATTAGTTTAAGCTTTTATTACAGTATAAGTGTTTGTAGTCAATCCAAGTTTATCAACTCAACTAAGCTAAATTTAGAAATCAGCTTAATCAACTATGTTTTTAGTATGTAAATC